TAGTTCCTTTATGCAGCACAAGTTGAAACAGTCGAGGCTAAATAAAAGAGAATGGGTCATATCTTTGACCGATATGCATGGAAATGGACTGAGTCTTATGGAGATCATGCACTCACTGTATACCCACATTCTGATAGTTTACTTTTAGGATGTGTACCTTCTTTATATGTATATCTGTTTAGTTAGTAGTCTATAAATAGGTTAGGTTGTCATTTGTTTTTGGTGTGTAATCAGTTTTTCCTTCTTGAAAGTAGTATAGCAGCGAGAAAACCCAATAACTTGTCCATAATTCCGGGTTGTTATGTAAATCACATGAGAGTCGATAGTTGCAAGTTTGCAGGTGGGTTAAATGAAGGGTTGATTTCCAAAAGTTGTGTTGCGTTCTTTGAGTGAAAAGATTGTTTGTGATATTGTAGGGTTTTATTTTGTTTTATTTTAGTTTTTTTTGTATCTTGTAGCTTCTTTTCCTAATTAATATATTCGTTTGCAGTAAAAAAAAATGGACATCTATTTCATAAGGCTAAAGGATGTACCACCCCACATTATGCAGTGAGTGTCGGGTTAGACCGTGGTGGTCATAATAACATCATTACATTTAGTGAACGACCGCAATGAGTGTCGTTCGACGATGGAAAAGTAACGCACCTCTCCATTTCCAATTTGTATATGTTGGAATATATACATATATATATATATATATATATATATATATATATATATATATATATATATATATATGATCTTTTGCGAACTCATATTTTCCCGCGGATCACTGTTAAAATGCAAAGTATTTTATGTGATATTTTTTTTCAAAAAAAGTTACATAAATCACCAAATCGGTATAATAGAAGCATATTCCAAAAAAAATGTGTATATACGAAAGGTACATATGTGCATTTTTTACGAACGTTGTGAATTTCCGACACTTGTGCACATATGCACCTGTCATATATGTACATTTTTTTTGTGAATATGCTTCTATAGGACCGATTTGGTGCTTTATGTCAATTTTTTTGAAAAAAAAATATCATAGAAAAAGTTCGCATTTTACGAGTGGTTCGCAGGAAAAAACATGGGTTCGCAAAAGATCCTCACCATTATATATATATAATATATATATATATTATATATATATATATATATATATTATTATATATATATATATATATGTAAAAGCTTGAAGAGTATAGAATCATAAAAAACTACATAGTTTTAGCAAAATGCAATCGAATCTTTATACCATCTTTCTTGCATCCTCTATTAGAGCTTATGCTAGGCTTTATATATATATTTTTATGGAGTTTTATAACTTTAATTTTGCACCATAAACTGTGTATGAGAATATTTTACCATCTACATGTATGTCTCAATGTTGGAATTCAATACAGAAAACTATACTGAAAGATTAAAATTGTTCATTAAAAAACCCAATAAACCTTTTTCTGTAACCCATTAAAAAAACCATGCAAGTATAGGAAGAAGCTTACTAGAGATCTAATAAAAAAACAGATTCAAAATACATAGATGTTGGGGATGAATCACGAAATAAAAAACAATATAAGTTCAAAAGCAATAGGAAGAAGCTAACAATGAAAGAAAATTGTGTTTTTAATCAAAATGAAGTCAATTTTGATAGTTATGTATATAATATTACATACATGACAACCGTATATTCATTTTTCATATATATATATATATATATATATATATATATATATATATATATATATATATATATATATATATATATATATATATATGAAAAAGTTCAATAGAGAACCATTATTAATCAATGAACCAATAAACCAATCCAAAGCGTCAGAATTTAAAGCGATCAACGGCAAAAGGAAGAGTTGTAAACTTTTATAATGGACGCACATGTACCGAATTATAACAAAACCCACTTCGTTTTTTTCATTTAAAATTTTTTTCGGCCAAGTTTTTTATCGAAGAAAAAACCGAATATACCGTTGTTCACGATTTTTCGTCCTCTTTCCATAGAGACTCATGATGATATATAAAAAACGAACTTTTTTTTTCGGAAAAAACTCACTTAATTTTCTTAGTTTTTTCAATATTTAAGTTTATTTTTATAAAAAAAAAACTAATTATACCAAAAATATTAATTTTTTGTACTCTATTAATAAACATCAACACCGATTAAAAAAAAAAAAAAAAAAAAAACTCGAACAGTATAGATTCACACTGTGAATCTAAACTATAAATATTTCAATTTTTAACATTCACAATATGAAAAATCTCGAACAGTTCAGATTCACATTGTGAATCTGAATTACTATTATGCACACTGTGAATCTGAGATGGTTCACAAAAAAAAAAAAAAAAAAAAAAAACCTCGATCAGTGTAGATTCACACTGTGAATCTAAACTGTAAATATTTCAAATTTTAACATTCACAATGTGAAAAAACTCCGATCAGTTCAGATTCACACTGTGAATCTGACTTATTATTATTCACACTGTGAATCTGAGGATGTTCACAATGTGAATCTGAACAGGTTTACAATATGAATATGAACAGGTTCACAATGTGAATCTGAACTGAAATATCGTTTTTTTTTGTTTAACATGAATATGAATCTATGATTAAAAAGTACAAAAAATATGAATTTTGATATATATTTATTAATTTTTTTTCTATAAAAAAATATACCTTAACTTTTTTCCTCAAAGAAAATGAAGTGAGTTTTTTTCGAAAAAAAAAAGTTCGTTTTTTATATATCATCATTGATCTCTATGGAAAGAGGACGGAAAATCGTGAACAACGGTATATTCGGTTTTTTTTTCGATAAAAAACATAGCCTAAAAAAAATTTTAAACGAAAAAAAATGATGAGTTTTTTTGTAAACGGTGGATTTTTTGATATAATCCGGTGTGTGTGCGTCCAATGTAAAAGTGTACATCTATTTCCTTGGCCGTTGATCGTTATGATTTCCAACACTCACGATTGGTTCCTTGGTTAATTATGGTTATCTATTGAACCTCACCCAATATATATATATATATATATATATATATATATATATATATATATATATATATATATATATATATATATATATATATATATTCGAAGTATTGATTCTTTGAGTTGTGGCTAGATGGAGTTTGGTATCTACATGGATTAATAGTCTAAAAATTATATATATATATATATATATATATATATATATATATATATATATATATAGTTTTTAGTCTTTTAATCCATAAAGATACCAACTCCATCCGATAATTTTGGCCACAACTCAAAGAATCAATACTTCGATACTAATTTTATCAATTTCACGATGTCATCATCACTTCTACTTTATTGGATACGTTCGCGTTAATGAAATCAATGTTATCATAAAAATGATGCAAAGAAAATCACTATTTTAGAAGAAGACGAAGTTGAAGTTCACCTTTAAAGACAAGAAAAAGTTTTTTATAGAGAGACTATGAAACTGGCCACGATCGCTTCGTACAATACTGTTTAATCGATGGTATGATGTGCAAAGTTTGAACAAAGATCTTAGATTAGGAAAGATGTATTCCTACGTATAGTTGGAGATTTGAAGAATGGGTTTGCATTTGTCGATTAAAATGAAATGCAAGAAGAATAGGTTTGCATATTGTCGATTCAAATAAAATACAAGAGATAGGAAAAGGTTTTTCTCAAATACAAAAATATATAAATGCATGTCATTAATTAATATATGATTGGGGATCCAACTCATATGATTTCATATGAGGATGTCAGAGCGGACCACATGAAAAAGTGTTTATAATTTTTTTAAAGCTACCATTTCGGTCTGTAACACACGATTTTTGTGTAAATCTACGTTTAATGACATACACCAATCGTATACAACACATGAAAACAACACATGAGTTTCATAGAATGTTAGGTTGTAATGATTGTCTGAATTGGCCATGAGTAATATGCCCTAACGCATGGAGCGGCCAATACATGTGAGGTGATCAGAAATAGTCGTCGATAAATCTAGAAGCTATTGCGTCCTACAATGTTGGATTTGGCATGTATTTTTATTGTTTACTTTGAATTTTAAATTAAATTATACTTCATATATATTTATTTAGAAAATCTAAAAAATAGGAGTTAGACAAGACTATTTCCTCGTTTAGCAAAGATATAGAAAAGGGAAATGATTTATAGTTTTGTACGTAACATTTTCTAATCATACATTATAAATTAGTCATACATAATAAATTATGTTTTAAAAGGGTGTATTTTATAACAATATAAAACATAAATTGTCCGACAAAATCATCCTCTTTAATAAATAAAAGTTTTTTTTTTGTCATGTGTCTTCTTCTTATTCATTTTGCCACATGGCTTTTTTTGGGTTTTTTTCGTTTTTTTTATTTCCTTATTTTTCACTTGTTATTTTTTGAGGTTTCATTCTTATATTAAATTTATAGAATTTACGGTTATATATATATATGGAAGATTTTCTTTCTATGGTTATTATTTTATTAATTTGAGAATAAATTAACATAAATGTTATAAGCTCATTGATTTATTTTCTTAATAAATCTCTATAATGCAAGTTCTCACTCCTAATCACCTAAAAAAATCAAAGAAATTTGGACGGCAATAAAAAAGCGACGGACCGAGTGTGTGATAGAGCATGAGCGATCAGGTAGCCGTTAAGCCTACACCTGCGCGAAAATTACGCTTAAAACGCGACTACTTCTTCGGTTCTTCCAGCTCATAATTTAATTACCGAGAAATATATAAGAAAAAACAAAATGTCCCTCTAATTTCTACATTCATGATTCAACAATGAGAATGAGGGTCCAACATACTGGGTTCCACGATCACACTTTAGTCCCTTCGATTATTCATATAATAATCCAAGTTCTGGACGTTCTTAGCTACTATGATTTTTTTATTGCATCTATTTTTGCAAAAAACTTTATCCGATTTTCAAACCCTATGGTTTGACCGATTGAAGTTATGGTTGTCTCGTTCGATTTGGTATAAGAATCATTCAAAGTCTTTGGCTATGGTGGACGACGCATGCTTTGATCATCTTGTCTTTCCACAAAAACTCTCTGGAATTGGAGATAATTTTACTCCAGGTGATAGAATTCAAAGATGATGAACTGGCTTAATTGACGTGGTGAGTTTTTTTTTTTTTTCATTGAATCAGTCATCTGCTTTAGTTCGATTTTTTAATTTTGCTTTTTTATAATCATCAGCGAGTATATAATGGAAAACGATCACCCTGGAATATGATTTTGGGGAACTGGGAACTCCAATTCCATGGGTTTGATGTAAAAGTGAATCCAAGTTTTGATAAAATTCGCATCAGAAGGTCGTTGATTCAAGTTCCAATTGAAGCACGGTATGTGTTTGCTGAAATGTCAATCTGAAGAGTTTGTTTTTGATTTGATATGGGTGATGATGAAGATGAAAGATTATGAAGATTTATCTGCTGGTTTAAATTCGAAATCTTTCATGGAGTCTCATTTAGATAAGATGAAATTTCCATCTTCACCAAGAACCCCAACTTCAGTTCTTCCAGATTATCCCGCTATTGAATCTTCTGAAGATTGCTCGATTGTTGCTTTTTCTACACCTTTTCTGTTGCCTCTACATGTTAATGCCATAAAGAAACTAAGTCCCATTGATGTAAAGCGCTTGTCTATTCACATGTATCCTCATGTAGCTCAACAAGTAGCTAACACCTTCAATCAGATAGAAGAATCCAAGAGGAACTCTGAATTAACTAAAGATTATGTGGTGCTGGTTGCCAATCCACCAACGCCACCACTACTATCACCTTCACCACCATCACCACTCCCACCAGTATCACCTCCTCCACCTCCACCACCCCCTATGAGTACAAGTCGTATACAGACACCACATCTACTTCCTCAAACACCTCCTCCCCCTCCTCCACCTCCCTCAAGCACAATTCATACAGTGACACCACAGCAACTCCCTCCGCCACCACCACCACCAATGGCTTCGCGAGATGCAACCATGACAAGACTATCCCTTGGAAAACAAGGTCCACCTCCACCACCACCACCTCCCATGACACCAAGAACCATCCCACCACCAATGCAACAAGGAAAAGGTGGTGCTCCACCACCACCTCCTCCTATTGGTGGCACCCAATCTCTACGAGCTAAAGCAACTACAAAATTAAAAAGATCCTCTCAGATGGGAAGCCTCTATCGCCTTCTCAAAGGAAAAGTTGAAGGGTCTAGTTTGAATGGTAAATCCTTAAAGAGAAGTAGCAGCAAAGTTGGAGCTGCTGCTTCTGGTGGAAGTGGAAAGCAAGGAATGGCTGATGCACTAGCAGAAATGACAAAAAGGTTATAAAAAAAGAACTCAAAAAGTATTCTAGAAATATCATAAACTTCCCTTCCTTATGTCCTTTTGTGCTTTCAGATCATCTTACTTCATTCAAATTGAAGAAGATGTCAAAAACTATGCAAATTCAATCAAAGAAATGAAAGCAACTCTAAGTTCATTCCAAACAACAAACATGGCTGAGCTTATCAAGTTCCACACATATGTTGAATCACATATGGAGAAACTTACTGATGAAACCCAGGTCTAAAAGATTACATTTCATCTATATTCAAATTTTCATTTTTGTTATCATTAATATTTATTATAATCATATCGCTAATACCCATTATAGGTTCTTGCAAGGTTTGAAGATTTTCCTAGTAAAAAGTTAGAAGGATTAAGAATGGCTGCAGCCCTACATGCCAAGTTAAATACAATAGCTACTACTTTGCATAATTGGAAGATAGAGTCTCCAGCAAACCAACTCATTGATAAAGTCGAAGCTTACTTTAACAAGGTAAATAAAATAAATTTCTAGTCTTATAAAATCGGTTTTTAATTGTATTACCAGAAAGTTTTTCTCTTCCACTTCCAAAGTTAGAACTTTCATATGCAGATTAAAGGAGATTTGGATACTTTAGAACGAACAAAAGATGATGAGCTCAAGAAATTTAAAAGTCAAAACATCCATTTTGACTTTGGGATCCTTGTAAGAATTAAAGAATTGATGGTGGGGGTTTCTTCAAATTGCATGGAGTTGACATTAAAGGTACTTTCTAGTTTCTACCACTCAACTTACGACCGTAAAAGGAAATTTTGTAAACAACGTATGTGGATTTGGTCCAGTCTCAGCAACTGCAGTGTGAGAGTTTTAATTCCAATGTGGGTTGGGATCCGAATGGCACTGGCTGACTGTATACCTGATTTACATCTCACATGATGCTTTGACAGTGTGGGCCAACTCAGGGTTGTTTAAAGAATATGATTTTTATTTGAACCACAGGAAGCAAGAGAGCCTAAAGCAAAAGAACATGAAAAAAGTGGGGTGAAAAGTTCGGGGAAAATCCTTTGGAGGGCTTTTCAGTTTGCATTTCGGGTGTATACATTTGCAGGTGGACAAGATGATCGTGCAGATAATTTAACAAGGGAACTTGCTCAGGAAATAGAGACCCACCCTTAACTTCTAGTAAGAAAGCTTTGTGTCATAGAATGCTTCATAAGATATTCATGGCTTCTTGTCATAAGAGCATTAATTTCGGTATTCTAGGTGTGTAGATTTAAATTTGAACTTCATGTAGCTACTTGAAGCTATTTTTGACAAAATTGTATGGTTCAATTCCATTCATGACATTTATCCTATATATTTACATTTCTTACATTTATTCATTTTTTTAATGTGTTCAGATGGAGACATATGTTTATTGATTAGTGTTGCCACTTATATAGCCTCAATAGGTGACGGTGGTTATGTGACTCGCCGATAAATATGATGGGAAGAATTAAACAAAACCACAAGTGGAGTTAGGAAATAACAATATACTTTGAAAATAAAACTAACACATAAATGAGAATGGAGAATCCCATATGTTTAATAAAATTTAAATTCTAAAAGTGTTTATAACGATGTCAAAACTATAGACGAAAAGAGATTGAATGCGTATGTATATATTTTTCACAGTACAAGGATTGGCTTTATATAGCCAATAAGAAGGAATCAATCTAGGAGAAATAAGGGATACATATCAATATAATTACAATGTGTATCTTTGGTCCTTAATATGCCCCCGCAAGATGGAGGATCCGTCGGATATTCCAATCTTGGAGTGAAGTCTGAGAAATGGTGCTCAACTAAGAGGCTTTGTCAAGGCATCTGCTAACTGATCATAAGAGCTAATGTGGAGTACTTTGAGAGAGCCGTCTGCGACCTTTTCCCTGACAAAGTGGTAGTCCATTGCAACATGTTTCATCCGAAAGTGATAAACTGGGTTAGCACATAGGTACGTGGCACCTATATTGTCACAAAAAGGGTGGGCAGAGAGGTTTGAGTGATACTGAGATCTTTGAGAAGATTTTCCACCCACAATATCTTAGATGTTGTATTGGCTAATGCTTTATACCTAGCTTCAGTGATAGTGAATAACCTTGAGACAAATATTTTTCGTGTAGATTTCCAAGAGATAATGTTTGAGCCAAGATAGAGTTATATAAGCAATGAGCGTCCTCCATTCGAGACCCCTCCCTAATCTGAGTCCGAAAATGCCTTGAGATTAAGTGTTGTTTGTTTTTTCGTAGCGGAAATTCTTGATGTCTGCAGACTACCTCTGCAACCCTCTGCAGCAGAAAAGGTGGACCAAACGGCTGCAGACTGTAATTAGAATCGTGTTTTTTTTACATCTGCAGGCTGCTACAGATGTTAAAAAAATAAATTAAACTGATTTTTTAAACATAAAATACTTTTTCAATACTAAAAATTTAATAATTCTAGTTTTAAAACATTGAAATAAAATTCATACAACCAAATTAGTCTTACAATAAAAACAAATTGAAATAAAATTCATACAACCAAACTTTAATAATTCTCATTCCATATTTTGCATCAACTTCTCGGCAATTTCATCCCATAACTGGGTCATATATTCACGGTACGCTGCAGTACTATGTGTTGGAATCTCATGTTCATCATCATCAATGGGCACATTGTTATTTCGAACTGAGACATTTGGTTCATTATGTCGTGCAAAACACTCATCATTCAGTTCCTCTCTTATAAAATTATGAAGCGCGGAACATACAAGGGTAATTTTTCTTTTTGTAAACGAGATCAGTGTCATCCTCTTTAATATAGGGAATCGTGCTTTCAAGACACCAACGCACGTTTAATGACGTTCCGAAGTTTTGCATGTGCATGGTTAAAATTTTCTTTATTAGTTAGTGCACGTCTTTGACGGAAATCTCCAAGCCAATACCTCACATTATGATACGGTGACATAAAACCTCGAGTGTGGGCATACGCGACATCACAAAGATAAATTTATCTGTAAAAATGCAAAAAAACAAAAAAACATTTAGTTTTCAAACTAAGATAAAGATATTTAAATAATCATAAACTTACTTGATGGTGGAAACGGGAATGGTGCATGTGGATTTGCTAATGTTTCTGATAATATTCTAGAATCATCTGCTATCCTTCCCAACCGGCCACAACAAACTTAAACATCTTGTTGAAGTCACAAATTGCCAATACGTTTTGGTAAAAATCACCTTTTCCCCTACTTATATATAAATCTTGTTTTTTTTTGCAGGGACAACAACATGTATCAAAGTACCATCAAGTGCACCAAGTGCTCATTTGAAAACCTGTCGTAACCTCCTATTATGTCTCAAAATATTTGGATTCAGATTAAAAGAAGTTGGTACTATAATGTCGTGTGCAAAAAACAGCATTTTGTCCAACACTTCATGAAAAAATTTATGTTTTTTTTTGCTTTGACTTTTGAAATCTTCCCTTGATATTCACATAACGTTAGTTATGACCGATCATCATAAAAAACATAACCATCTTTTCCTCAACCGATACATGTTTGCTATCCTTTAACACGTAATTTACTCTAAAATGCACACATAGTCGTACAAAAGATTCACGTGACATGCATAGTACTTCAACACATTGTAGATGATTTTTTTCCAATAACTCTAACGTGTATTCATGTCCCGTCATTTCCGAATCGTTTTCCCACACTCATTTCACACCCCTCTTCCAAAAATAGCGTACGTACAAGTACATTAGAATAATGAGAAGTATCTTTTTGTCGTGATACATTAGGAACCTATTAATCAACATAAGTACCAAATAACATAAAATTCAAGTACCATATAACATAACATAAAATTCAAGTGCCAAATAACATAACATAAAATTCAAGTGCCAAATAACATAAAATTCATGTACCAAATAACCAAATTACAATAGCAAAAAACATAACCACGTAGTTCCAACACATGCAATTAAAACATAAACAACACAAATATGTAAACTGATGATATATGGTCCATTGGCATGGCCTAGACTGCTCTAGCGCGCCAGCCTGGCCTGGTGCGCTCCTGCCAGCCCTGCCTGGAGTTCCCTTTCGAGCCTTGCTGGGGACTCCCTTGCCAGCCCTGCTGGGGACTCTCCTGCCGGCTCGGCCATGCGCTCCCTCGCCTGGCACTCCCTTGCCATCCTCTCCTGGTGCGCGCCTGCCAGCCCTGCCTGGGGCGTGCCCGCCATCCCCGCCTGGCACCTCCGGGCGGCCTTGCCCAGCTCCTTGTTGGTTGGGCCTGAATTGGGCTGGCCCAAGGCCTGACCTAATTCGCCTTGACCTAATTGTCCCCTATATAATAAACAGTACCTCCTCCATGGAGAGGGATCCTTCCCTGGGGGCTCAGCCGCCACTATACTCCGGCCGGGTGGCTCAGCCGCCACCCGCCGCCGTCAACCACCATACACCACCACTAGCACCAAGATGGTTCTCTCCAGCTGTGGAGGACCATCTCAGATCTTCTAGCTGATCTAACTTGACCGTCGGAGTCCACTCCCGGGGGCACAGTCCCTGGGGCGGCTCTAACGATTTTGCATTGTGATGTCAGATCTCCGCCGCAGCAGAAGACCAGAAGAATCGCCGGAGGTCGATGTCGCATCATTTGGCGCCATCCCGGACTCGAACGAGCAGAAATCATCTTGTTCTTGCCTAGATCTGTTCAGATCTGCTGTGCTTCAGCTCAGGTTTGACCAGATCCATTCATATTTAACACCATTTGTTCAGATCCGTTTGGCTCTTGCCAAGATCTACTCCATTTTCAGTTCAGATCTGTAGATCTGTTTTATCTTGAAGCTCAGATCTCAAGATCTGTTGAGTTTTTGTTAAGATTGTTAGATCTACTTTGTTTGTTGTTCAGATGTCTAAATATGTTTGGTTTTAGTTCATTTGAGCAACTCTCAAGTTTTAAAAGACTTCATTAGATATGATTTTCGTCCATATTTTGATGGGTTTTTCAGAAAAGGGGGAAAAAAGAGACTTTTATGCGTTCTTAACTCATCTTTGATTATATTTGTGTTCTATCAAACAATTTGAGAAGAAGAGAAATTTTTTGTGGTTATTTACCTTGTCTTAAGTTGTTCTTTTGAGAGAAAGCACCCTTAGATTGCAATTTTTTACTTTTCTCAAGTTGTTTATTTCGTGTTTCCTTCAGAAGTTTAGAGATGGAAAACGAATTTCTCAGATCTGTGTTTTGGCTTGTTGAACAAGCTGAAAAGAAAAAGAGGGTTTTACAAAAAGAAATCCTTCTCAAATTCGTTTTTGTTCATATTCTTGTGTTTGTTCAGCAAGTCTGAGAAGAAAAGAAAAGTTTTCATGGGCTTTTTAACTGATATTACTAGAAAATCGTTTTTATCTAGAGATTTTCTGTTAACACCTCCTATCCTTGAAACAGATGCTTGTAAGAATGGCTAAGTTTCTTGTATGTTTCTCAGAAAATCTCTTGAGCCCATAATCTTCTATGCAAATCCCATCCCTGTAACATTTATTTGTACATACAACTGTGTAGCTTGTACATTTTACAAAACCCTCATAAAGAAAAAGAGAAGGGATGAGAAGCCTTGATGGGGCTTAACCCACTTTCAGTTCATATATTTTTCAGAAAATCATATTTGGTTTATGATTCTCAAATATTATTCAAGTTGTTTAGATGTTTGAAAGAAGAAATAAGTTTCTATTAATTTTTTATCTTCTTAATTCTAGAAAACTCATTTTTCATTGTTCTGTAATCCTTGAATATTTTAAAACGTTGGTAGAATTACTTTTACCCCATGATTTTACCATTTTAGTTAATGGCTTTCAAAAAGAAAAGAGAAGGGGTGGAGAGAAGTTCTATAAGAAGAACTCATATTTGTAAAAGAAATAAAAAAACATGTGTATGTACAGACAAAATCTTTACAGCTAATATTTACAACACACTACACAAAAAGATTTCAAAAATCGTATTTACTCCACTCTCAAGAAAAAAAGGGGATGAAAAGATGGTGTATACAGTGCACACCACAAACAGACAACAACATTTTTAGTGGGACCCACCTGGTCCAATTCTTGCGTACAGAAAAAAAGAGAGGGAAAGATGGTCTATGCACCCATATGTTTGCACACACAAGACAAGAGTCGGGTCCCACCTGATTCAGAGATGTCAAATAAAGTCAATCGACCATTAGCTGGACTCCACCCGGTCTATCTCCCCATCCAGAAAAGGCGAGCCACCTCCGAGAACCGCCCGACGCAGCCGTCATCTCCGGCAGGGCAGCTTCGCTCGGCTCATGTCT